AGGGGGGTCGAGCTTAGAGAGTCTTAGCACCGCGCGGCTTGATCGAGTCCTTCGATTCTGCACACCAAGTCCATGTGTATCCCCCCGGTTTACTAACTGCTGCTCTTGTGTTCGTCTGTGTGTGTTGGCTGGTGCTGGTCGCATGGATTTCAAGCCATGGGTCCAACACAGTCAGGCAGGTCTATGGGAAAGCAGCAGTCGTCGCAGTGGGGGCCGGCAGCAGTGGTGGCAGCAGGCGCTGAGCGAACGACCATGACAGCACCTGCGGCGGCAGTGGTTCTGGCAAATCGCGCAGGAGAACAAGAACCGGTGGACGAAGCGTAGTCCACAGCAGCAGCGGCATCACCATCAGCGGCGCCAGCAGGAGTGGCAACAGCTGCAGTGGTAACGGCAGAGGTGGTTCCGATGGAGGTATGTCTTATTGGCGATTCTAATTGGTCCCTGTTTCCTGCTGCAGCCGCTATTGTGAGATCTTTCATGCCGTTTTCCCATTCAACGTTCACTCATCCACTCCCTTCCCCTTTCATCCCCATCCTCCGCTTGCAGGACATCTGGCAGCTGCTACAGGCAAGCAGCAGGGGAGGGAGGAAGGGCAGTGGACGAGTGGCAGGCAGCGAAAGAAAGGAGTGAAGCGGACAGACGCCTCTGAACAGAAGAAGGCTTAGTGTTCTCTTACCCCTGCACATCCCACGCTTTCAACTCCACCTGAGCATGGCGCGCATGCATCTCATGTGCTTGCGTGAATCATCCACCCAGCCCCATTACATGCATCTGCACGTAAAACCCATTGCTCGTTGCAGTTCAGTGCTCAGGGCACAGACCGGTCCTTATGAACCCCAGGTAACCCCCCCCCCAGGTGAAGCCTTTAGAGCCTTTACTAGATACCCTACAGCCCTCCCCCTTCTGGTCTGTGCCCTGTGCCCACTGCGGCTGCAGCAGTGGCCCCATATCCACCCACCAGCATGCCCGCCTCTCAAAACCCCCCTGTGCAATACCCCGCTGTTCTCTTTCACATTCCTGCAAGTCAGTCTGCTGCGATTTTCAGGTCCTGTCGCCAATCTGGCTCTGCATCCGCCACTGCCACTTAGCTCCTCGTCTCTCCCTCCCTTCCCTTCCCTTCCTCCCTCCCCCCCTCCCCTCCCCTCCCTCCCAGGGCTGAAGCGGAGACTGAGTGGCCAGCGAGGCAGCAGGAGCAGTGGTGGCAACTGAGGCAGCAGGAGCAGTGGCAACAGCAGCCCACGCAACTGGGACGGTTGCAGCCAAGGAACGAGTGCCACACACACTTCACCTGCCTCTGATCATCTCTGCACCAACCCTCCATACCACAGATAAGTACTCTACCCTCAAGGTTTTTGACCCACCTCCACCCGTTGTTGCTCTAGCTGGATTTCGTTCTGCTCTGTGCTTCTGTGTGCTTTGCTCGCCACTCGTATTCATGCGCCCATCACTGCTCTAGCTGCAAGGGGACGCACCCAGGGAATCAACCGCCCCCCCCTAGGTAACAGGTGGCAGGTTCGGCCTAAGGTACCAGGTGTGTAGGTATGGTACAAGGCGGAAGAGACCCTCGGGTGTGTCATCATTGCATCTAGTTCTCTCTGCCTCTCATCACGTTCTGTTGATTTCGCTTCTGCATCCGTCTTCCTTGCGCTGCACCTTGCTACCTGGCATTCACTTGGTCCTTCGTCTGCCTCCCCCTCCCCCCCCCCCCTTCCCTCCCTCCCTGCTGGTCACTTGGCAGCACGGGAGAGCCATGGAGGGCTGTGGCAGCGGGCGAATCAAGGAGGCAGCCTTCTCTGCACCGACCCCTTCCAAAGCTAAGTACTCTAGTCTCAATGTTTACTCCAGCCCTCCACTTTCTGCAAGTCGTTGCTCTAGTTGCTTCTCGTTCTGCTCTGTCCTGCTGTGCTCTTCGCTCGCTGGTCGCGTTTTCATGCGCCCATCGCTGCTCTGGCTGCAAGGAATACACCCAGGGAATCAACCACCTCCCCCAGGTAACAGACGGCAGGTACCAGGTATGTGGGTATGGGATTCCCCCCAGGTAAACAGCCCACGGTGTGGTACAAGGTGGGAGATACCTTTGGGTTTGCCGCCATTGCAGCTAGTGCTCTCAGCCTTTCTTCCCTCCATCTGCTGGTTCTGCTGGTTCTGCTGGTTTTGCTGGTTTTGCTTCCCTGCACTCACTTCTTCCTTGTCTGCCTCCCCCTCCCTCCATCCAGGTCACCATGGCAGCATGGGGCGGCATGGAGGGCTGGCAGCGGATGAAGCAGAGAGGCAGCAGCACCTTCAGCAAAGGTTGATTATGGGATACATGTTGGCAAGAAACTGGTAAGCCCTTGCATTTCCGCATCGAATTCCGCTGGTTTTGCTTCTGCATCTCACCTTGCTTGCCTTCCCCGCACTCACTTGTTCCTTGTCCGCCCCCTCCTCTCCCCCTGCAGGTCCAATGGCAGCATGGGGCAGCAAGGAGGGGTGTGGCACCAGCACCTTCTGCAATGGTTGAGTATCGGATACATGTTGCCTAAGAATAGGTAAGCCCATTCTTGCCGCATCAGTTTCTGCTGGTTTTACTTCTGCATCTATTCCTCCTTGCACCTTGCCTCCCAGTCTTCACTTGTTCCTTGTCTGCCTCGCCCTTCCCCCCCTGCAGGTGAAGCAGGAAGGCAGCAGCACCATCAGTACCGAAACGTGTTGGCCCAAGACAGGTACACCCGTGCTTTCCTCCATCAGTTTCAGCTAGTTTTGCTTCTGCATCTTTCTTCCTTGCTACTCGCTTCCCTGCACTCACTTGTTCCTTGTCTGCCTGCCCCTTCCTTTCTGCAGGTCACTTGGCAGCGATGGCAGCAGAAGTGACACCATCACTTGGCAACTCGGTTGGCTCCATGGCAACTCGTTTGGATCCATGGCAACCGTGTTGGCTCCATGGCAACCGTGTTGGCTCCATGGCAACCGTGTTGGCTCCATGGCAACTCGGTTGGCTCCATGGCAACCGTGTTGGCTCCATGGCAACCGTGTTGGCTCCATGGCAACTCGGTTGGCTCCATGGCAACCGGGTTGGCTCCATGGCAACTCGGTTGGCTCCATGGCAACTCGGTTGGCTCCATGGCAACTCGGTTGGCTCCATGGCAACCGAGTTGGCTCCATGGCAACTCGGTTGGCTCCATGGCAACTCGGTTGGCTCCATGGCAACCGAGTTGGCTCCATGGCAACCGTGTTGGCTCCATGGCAACCATGTTTGCTCTGTGGCAACTGTGTTGGCTCCATGGCAACCGTGTTGGCTCCATGGCAACCATATTTGCTCTGTAGCAACTGTGTTGGCTCCATGGCAACCGTGTTTGCTCTGTGGCAACTGTGTTGGCTCCATGGCAACCGTGTTGGCTCCATGGCAACCGTGTTGGCTCCATGGCAACCGTGTTGGCTCCATGGCAACTCGGTTGGCTCCATGGCAACTCGGTTGGCTCCATGGCAACCGTGTTGGCTCCATGGCAACCGAGTTGGCTCCATGGCAACTCGGTTGGCTCCATGGCAACTCGGTTGGCTCCATGGCAACCGTGTTGGCTCCATGGCAACCATGTTTGCTCTGTGGCAACTGTGTTGGCTCCATGGCAACCGTGTTGGCTCCATGGCAACCATGTTTGCTCTGTAGCAACTGTGTTGGCTCCATGGCAACCGTGTTTCCTCTGTGGCAACTGTGTTGGCTCCATGGCAACCGTGTTGGCTCCATGGCAACTCGGTTGGCTCCATGGCAACTCGGTTGGCTCCATGGCAACCGTGTTGGCTCCATGGCAACCAGATTGGCTCCATGGCAACCGGATTGGCTCCATGGCAACCGGATTGGCTCCATGGCAACCGGATTGGCTCCATGGCAACTGGGCCGGCTCCATGGCAACCGGGTTGGCCCCATGGCAACCGTGTTGGCTCCATGGCAACCGTGTTGGCTCCATGGCAACCGTGTTGGCTCCATGGCAACCGGATTGGCTCCGTGGCAACCGGGTTGGCTCCGTGGCAACCGGGTTGGCTCCATGGCAACCGGATTGGCTCCGTGGCAACCTTGTTGGCTCCCTGGAAACCGTGTTGGCTCCATGGCAACCGTGTTGGCTCCATGGCAACCGTGTTGGGTCCATGGCAACCGTGTTGGCTCCGTGGCAACCTTGTCGGCTCCCTGGCAACCGTTTGGGCTCCATGGCAACTCGGTTGGCTCCATGGCAACCGGTCGGCCCATGGCAACCGGTTTGGCTCCATGGCAACCGTGTTGGCTCCATGGCAACCGTGTTGGCTCCATGGCAACCGTGTTGGCTCCATGGCAACCGTGTTGGCCCCATGGAAACCGAGTTGGCTCCATGGCAACTCGGTTGGCTCCATGGCAACCGTGTTGGCTCCATGGCAACTCGGTTGGCTCCATGGCAACTCGGTTGGCTCCATGGCAACTCGGTTGGCTCCATGGCAACCGGATTGGCTCCATGGCAACCGGATTGGTTCCATGGCAACCGGATTGGCTCCGTGGCAACCGGGTTGGCTCTGTGGCAACCGGATTGGCTCCATGGCAACCGTGTTGGCTCCATGGCAACCGTGTTGGCTCCGTGGCAACCTTGTCGGCTCCCTGGCAACCGTTTTGGCTCCATGGCAATTCGGTTGGCTCCATGGCAACCGTGTTGGCTCCATGGCAACCGGGTTGGCCCCATGGCAACCGGGTTGGCTCCATGGCAACCGTGTTGGCCCCGTGGCAACCGAGTTGGCTCCATGGCAACCGTGTTGGCTCCATGGCAACCGTGTTGGGTCCGTGGCAATCGTGTTGGCTCCATGGCAACCGGATGGGCTCCATGGCAACCGGATTGGCTCCATGGCAACCGGATTGGCTCCATGGCAACCGGGCTGACTCCATGGCGACCGGGTTGGCTCCATGGCAACCGTGTTGGCTCCATGGCAACCGTGTTGGCTCCATGGCAACTCGGTTGGCTCCATGGCAACCGTGTTGGCTCCATGGCAACGTTTGGCTCCATGGCAAATCGGTCGACTCCATGGCATCCGCGTTGGCTCCATGGCAACCCGATTGGCTCCATGGCACCTCGGTCGGCTCCATGGCAAATCGGTTGGCTCCATGGCAACTCGGTTGGCTTCAGCAGTGTCTGCATAGCCACCAACGTACGCCATATATTTGGTTCCAGCTAAGTTACGCCGCTCTCAGGTCCCCATTCTCTCACTATCCTCTAGCCCTCCCTTGCACTGTCAGTTTTTCTTGTCCGCTTTTGCATGTCTGTTCTTCTGATTTCTGTCCTCCCAGAAATCAGGGACTTCTGATTCTGTTGTTGAGTTCCCAGCTGTCTTCTTGCATCCCTTGGCAGTGCCGCTACTTTTTCCCCCCCTCCTTCCACCCTTCAACCCCCATGGTTCCCCTTGCAGGTCATCACACAGCAGCTGCACGCATTCAAGACAACGACTGCCAGCAGCAGCAGTAGCAGCAGCAGCAGCAGCAGTAGCAGCAGCAGCAGCAGCAGCAGAGGCAGGATAGTTAGCTAGGGGATAGGGTGAGGTAAGGCAAGGTAAGATATCTGGTACGGTGAGGTTCAGGTTGGGTATAGGTTCGGTCTGGTGTGTGCTTGGTTAATCATGGTTCTCCTCTTCCCTCTCTTGTCTGCAGCTTTGACGTGCTGGATCCTTGGAGCAAGAGCAAGGCGAGGAGAACGGGCAGCAGTCTGTCTCATCCCCCCCTCTCCCCTGCTTCCTTCCCCCTCCCAGAAATCAGGGAATCGGAGTAGGACTGGCAGCTAGTATGGAGTTCCCCAGTAACCACCCTCCCTTCCCAGCAGCTGCAACTGCAATCACTAAGGTGCTCTGCTCGACTCTGGTAGGTAGAGGTAAGAATGTGTGGAGGTACAGGGAGGCGGGTAGGGGGGGGAAGCATGGGAGCAAGCATGCAGCTCACTTCCCTAGGGGCAGCACCCGTGGTGGTTTGTGTCCTTGTGGGTGGGGGTGTGGCTGGGGAACTAGCGCGGCGACGGCAGTCGGTGCTCAAGTAACGAACCTGCGCGTTAAAGCACAATAGGCCCTGTCAGAGCCGTGCCGGCCGTCTCTGATTCGGGCAAGCTCATGCTACGCCAGGGGGTGGATTTGAGTCTTGGGCCAGTTCGCGCTTTTCCCCTTGCCACACCTCACTGCGAGGCAGAGCCACTCTGGGTGTTGTTTCCGAAAGGGAGTGGTTGCGTGCTGCTCCTTCTGCTAGCAAGGTGGTTCGGGGGGTAAAGTGGGAGGTGGTGGTGGTGGTGGTGGTGGTTGGGGAATGGTGAGATAGGGTGGGATGGGGAAGGTTTGGTGAGATAGGCTGGCTTTGGGAGGGATGGTGAGATAGGGTGGTATGCGGAAGGGTGGTTAAGATAGGGTGGTATGGGAGAAAGGGTAAAACAGGGTCGTATGGGGAAGGGTTTCGAGATAGGGTGGTATGGGAAGGGATGGATGAGATAGGGTGGTATGGGGAGGGATAGATGAGATAGGGTGGTATGGGGAGGGATGGGTGAGATAGGGTGGTATGGGGAAGGGTTTCTGAGATAGGGTGGTTTTGGGAGGGATGGGTGAGATAGGGTGGTATGGGGAAGAACGGGTCAAATAGTGTGGTCTGGGGAAGAAAGGGTAAACCAGGGTCGTATGGGGAAGGATTTCGAGATAGGGTGGTATGGGAAGGGATGGATGAGATAGGGTGGTATGGGAAGGGATGGATGAGATAGGGGGTATGGGAAGGGATGGATGAGATAGGGTGGTATGGGGAGGGATGGATGAGATAGGGTGGTATGGGTAGGGATGGATGAGATAGGGTGGTATGGGGAGGGATGGATGAGATAGGGTGGTATGGGGGGGGATGGATGAGATAGGGTGGTATGGGGAGGGATGGATGAGATAGGGTGGTATGGGGAGGGATGGATGAGAATAGGGTGGTAATGGGAGGGGATGGATGAGATAGGGTGGTATGGGGCAGGGGATGGATGAGATAGGGTGGTATGGGGAGGGATGGATGAGATAGGGTGTATGGGGAGGGGATGGATGAGATAGGGTGGTATGGGAAAGGGATGGATGAGATAGGGTGGTATGGGAAGGGATGGATGAGATAGGGTGGGATGGGGAGGGATGGATGACATAGGGTGGTATGGGAAGGGATGGATGAGATAGGGTGTTATGGGGAGGGATGGATGAGATAGGGGTGGTATGGGAGGGATGGATGAGATAGGGGGTGGTATGGGGAAGGGATGGATGAGATAGGGTGGTATGGGAAGGGGATGGGACTGAGATAGGGTGGTATGGGGAGGGATGGATGAGATTAGGGTGGTATGGGAGGGATGGATGAGATAGGGTGGTATGGGAAGGGATGGATGAGATAGGGTGGTATGGGAAAGGGATGGATGAGATAGGGTGGGATGGGGAGGGATGGATGACATAGGGTGGTATGGGAAGGGATGGATGAGATTGGGTGGTATGGGAAGGGATGGATGAGATAGGGTGGTATGGGAAGGGATGGATGAGATGGGGTGGTATGGGAAGGGATGGATGAGATTGGGTGGTATGGGAAGGGATGGATGAGATTGGGTGGGTATGGGGAGGGATGGATGAGATAGGGTGGTATGGAAGGATGGATGAGATAGGTGGTATGGGAAGGGATGGATGAGATAGGGTGGTATGGGAAGGGATGGATGAGATAGGGTGGTATGGGGAAGAGTGGGTAAGTTAGGGTGGTCTGGGGAAGAACGGGTGAGATATGGTGGTATGGGAAGGGATGGATGAGATAGGGTGGTATGGGAAGGGATGGATGAGATAGGGTGGTATGGGAAGGGATGGATGAGATAGGGTGGGATGGGAGGGATGGATGAGATAGTGTGGTATGGGAAGGGATGGATGAGATAGGGTGGTATGGGAAGGGATGGATGAGATAGGGAGGTATGGGGAGGGATGGATGAGATAGGGTGGTATGGGAAGGGATGGATGAGATAGGGTGTATGGGAAGGGATGGATGAGATAGGGTGGGATGGGGAGGGATGGATGACATAGGGTGGTATGGGAAGGGATGGATGAGATAGGGTGGTATGGGAAGGGATGGATGAGATTGGTGGTATGGGAAGGGATGGATGAGATAGGGTGGTATGGGGAGGGATGGATGAGATAGGGTGGTATGGGGAGGGATGGATGAGATAGGGTGGTATGGGAAGGGATGGATGAGATAGGGTGGTATGGGAAGGGATGGATGAGATAGGGTGGTATGGGGAAGAACGGGTAAAACAGGGTCGTATGGGGAAGGGTTTCGAGATAGGGTGGTATGGGTGGTATGGTGAGGTAGGGTGATATGGGGAGGGATGGGTGAGATAGGGTGGTATGGGGAAGGGTTGGTGAGACAGGCTGGTATGGGGAGGGATGGGTGAGATAGGGTGGTATGGGGAAGGGTTGGTGACACAGGGTGGTTTTGGGAGGGTAGGGTGAGATAGGGTGGGATGGGGAAGAAAGGGTGAAATAAGGTGGTATGGGGAAGGGTTGGTGAGATAGGATGGTGTGGGGAAGAGTGGTTGAGTTTGGGTGGTATGGGAAAGAATTGGTGAGACTGGGTGGTATGGGGAAGGGTTTGGTGAGATAGGGTGGTATGGGGAGGGATGGGTGAGATAGGGTGGTATGGGGAGGGATGGGTGAGATAGGGTGGTATGGGGAGGGATGGGTGAGATAGGGTGGTATGGGGAGGGATGGGTGAGATAGGGTGGTATGGGGGAGGGATGGGTGAGATAGGGTGGTATGGCGAAGGGTTGGTGAGAACAACGGGTGAGTTAGGGTGGTGTTGGAAAAGAATGGGTGAGATAGGGTGGTTTGGGGGGGGTGGGTGAGATAGGGTGTATGGGAAGAAGGGTGAGATAGGGTGGTATGGGAAGGGATGGATGAGATTGGGTGGTATGGGAAGGGATGGATGAGATAGGGTGGTATGGGGAGGGGATGGATGAGATAGGGTGGTATGGGGAGGGATGGATGAGATAGGTTGGTATGGGAAGGGATGGATGAGATAGGGTGGTATGGGAAGGGATGGATGAGATAGGGTGGTATGGGGAAGAACGGGTAAAACGGGTCGTATGGGGAAGGGTTTCGAGATAGGGTGGTATGGGTGGTATGGTGAGGTAGGGTGATATGGGGAGGGATGGGTGAGATAGGGTGGTATGGGGAAGGGTTGGTGAGACAGGCTGGTATGGGGAGGGATGGGTGAGATAGGGTGGTATGGGGAAGGGTTGGTGAGACAGGGTGGTTTTGGGAGGGTAGGGTGAGATAGGGTGGGATGGGGAAGAAAGGGTGAAATAAGGTGGTATGGGGAAGGGTTGGTGAGATAGGATGGTGTGGGGAAGAGTGGTTGAGTTTGGGTGGTATGGGAAAGAATTGGTGAGACTGGGTGGTATGGGGAAGGGTTGGTGAGATAGGGTGGTATGGGGAGGGATGGGTGAGATAGGGTGGTATGGGGAGGGATGGGTGAGATAGGGTGGTATGGGGAGGGATGGGTGAGATAGGGTGGTATGGGGAGGGATGGGTGAGATAGGGTGGTATGGGGAGGGATGGGTGAGATAGGGTGGTATGGCGAAGGGTTGGTGAGAACAACGGGTGAGTTAGGGTGGTGTGGAAAAGAATGGGTGAGATAGGGTGGTTTGGGGGGGGTGGGTGAGATAGGGTGTATGGGAAGAAAGGGTGAGATAGGGTGGTATGGGAAGGGATGGATGAGATAGGGTGGTATGGGAAGGGATGGATGAGATAGGGTGATGTGGGAAGGGATGGATGAGATAGGGTGGTATGGGAAGGGATGCATGAGATAGGGTGGTATGGGGAGGGATGGATGAGATAGGGTGGTATGGTTAGGGATGGATGAGATAGGGTGGTATGGGGAGGGATGGGATGAGATAGGGTGGTATGGGGAGGGATGGATGAGATAGGGTGGTATGGGGAGGGATGGATGGAATAGGGTGGTATGGGGAGGGATGGATGAGATAGGGTGGTATGGGAAGGGATGGATGAGATAGGGTGGTATGGGGAGGGATGGATGAGATAGGTGGTATGGGGAGGGATGGTTGAGATAGGGTGGTATGGGGAGGGATGGATGAGATAGGGTGGTATGGGGAGGGATGGATGAGATAGGGTGGTATGGGAAGGGATGGATGAGATTGGGTGGTATGGGAAGGGATGGATGAGTTAGAGAGGTATTGGGACGGGTTGGTGAGATGGGCTGGTTTTGGGAGGGATGGATGAGATAGGGTGGGATGGGGAAGAACGGGGTAAAACAGGGTCGTATGGGGAAGGGTTTCGAGATAGGGTGGTATGGGTGGTATGGTGAGGTAGGGTGGTATGGGGAGGGATGGGTGAGAGAGGGTGGTATGGGGAAGGGTTGGTGAGACAGTACAGAGAGTTCCAAGGCGTGGATTGTGCAACCTAGAATTGCGCAACCAGTTGCGCGCGGTGTTGGCGACTTTCTTGCCTGGATAAAAGTTTGCTAACAAACTTCGTGATCTTTGCGAAACCCGTAACCATGCTGTATTGCGCAGCTCAGTCGGATTGCGCAACCCTAGACTCCACGCCCTCAGCCACACCTGTTTGTGTCGCAATTTGCGGGCAGGTTGATGCAAATTTTGTTGTAGCAATATCGCGCGTTGCACAACAACTGTACTAAATGTTAAGCGGCGCAACGGCCGAAACAGTCCCTTCAATAACACATGGTCGGTTGCCAGTACCACGGAAACGATTCCGCATGGGGCGAGCCAACCATGAAGGGCGATGTGTCACGTCGCAAGGTGTGTTGGCACGTCAATTCCTAAACTTTGGGAGTCGCCCAAACAGACTTCACGCTTATTGGGTAACCCATCCCAATGTGCAACGTAAACTGCACGCATATGGAATGGCGGGGCTTCGCAATTGGTTTCATTACACGAACCTGTATGGAGATTGAACAGGTGTCAAATGATCCCGTTGCCGAAACTTCCCGCTTACAAATTTGACGATTGGAATGGCCAGTGGAATTTGTGCCGTGTGGAATGCGCAGCGAGAAGAATGCGGCTCGCAAAAATTCAACCCACCGTCACGACCATGCAGAATTCCTCCCGACACTCCAGAGAGGCAATTTCAGCTCCAAAGAGCACATATTTGGGTTCCCCGCTTATCCTACCATTCACACACTCCAAATCTCCTCCCGGATGCTTACAGATTATGAACCATTACTTCCGAAGTATTGACGCCAGCCTCATCTTCCGCCTCCAGCCTCGTCTAGCATTTTCTTTGTAGCCATGGCTTCTACCACCTTGCAGTCTACGCTAGGTGGTGTTAGTGCACCACGTCCTTCAACAAGCGTGCCTACCACTAGTCGTTTTACGGCCGTCCCTACTGCCCTTAATGCCAACCGTCCTGTTGATGCTGACTCCAACATGCCGCCGTTCAAGAAAGCCAAGAAGCGGACCTCCCTCATGTGGATGTTTTTTGAGAAGATGGAAGGGACGGAGAAGGCACGGTGCATGCTTTGTTCGAACAAGGGGTCGAACGTGACCATCTCGTGCAATGGCGGCTGCACCACCGCAATGAAGAACCATGTTACGAGTCACCACGCACCTCAATATACAACAATCACTGGTGAGGATGTGGGAGCTGGTGGTAACCAAGACATTGGGAAGGCGATTCGTGGGAACACCATGACACGGACAAGGAGAATAGGAGGCGTTTGGTGAGGGTGATTCTCAAGGGGATTCTCTCCTTTAGGGCTCTCACTTGCCCCGAGTTGTTGGCATACTTGCAGTGGCTTGAACCGAAGGTAACCATCCCTTGTCGGGTTACGATTGCAAGTGACATTCACACAGCTTACAACGAGCGGGTGGTGTTGATGAGGATGCGTTTGCAAGGTTTGCCATCAAAGGTATCCTTCACGCGTGATATTTGGACGGCGCCCAATTTGGATGCCTACATGGCTATCACGGCGCATTGGCTTGATGAGCGCTTTAACAACAAGAGCATCTTGTTGGACTTCATCAATCTCAAGTTCCACCACACGGGTGAGGCCATCAAGAACGCGTTCGGTGCGAGCGGTCTTTGATGAGTGGGGTCTTGAGAGCAAGTTCATGGCCATCACCATGGACAATGCCTCCACCAATGAGAAGATGGGTGAAACTTCTCGTCAAGGATCACGACTTTTCCTTTGGAAGGTACATAAGGTGCTTTGCTCATGTCATCCAACTTGTGGTGGAATGCATCTTGAAATCACCTAAGGTGGATGGTGCACTCACCAAGGTCCGTGGGCTTGCAACCCACCTTAGTGGGTCAAGCTTGAGGCATGATAAGTTTGAGGTACATTGCATTGAGAAGGTGCAAGGGCATAAGACCTCACTTGCTCATGACACCCCAACGAGGTGGGGAAGTGCCCATGCTATGGTGGTAAGGGCACGGGAGTTGAAGGCGGCCATTAACTCCTACTTGGTGGCCGAGGTGGAGGAGGAGGTATTTGAGGAGCTCCGAATGAGGGATGACGAATGGAGCACCCTCTTCGTTCTTGAGAAACTTCTCGCTCCGTTTGCCGGAGTGCAACGGATTTTGGAGGGGTCTAGGTACCCAACAACTTCCTTGTGTGTTCCATTGGTGAACTCACTCATGGATTTGTTGGAAGCCCAGGTGGCCGCCAGGGGCGAGTTTTGGGAGCCATGCAAGAATGCTCACGCCAAACTGAAGAACTACTACAACCGGACTTCGGAGGACTACACTATTGCAACCCTTTTGGACCCTAGGTTCAACCTAGGGTACTATGCTTTGGGTGCAATGGAGGGGGGCGCTCATCATGCGGCAACCTCCGTGGTGAAAGCCACAATTACCGAGGCTTACGCCAAGTACGAGGAGGTGGCGCCGCATGAGGAAGTCATGGGCGAGAGTTCAAGCCCTCTTGGAGGGGAAACGGTGGAGGGAGGGAGTGGGCAATCAACGATCTTTGGCGGCATCTTCTCAGTCCGTGGGAGGGGGAGTCAAGTGGAGAGAATCAACTCTCTAAGTACCTAGACGAGGAGAGGGTCACCGTGGAAAATGAGAAGTCGGTTGCTACATTCAAGGATTGGTGGCGTCTCCATTGCCATCACTACCCGAACGTTGCAAGGATGGCTCGTGATTACTTGGCGATTCCGGGAACGTCTGCCGACTCCGAGCGCTCATTTTCCATTGCACGGCATTTGTTCACGGATTTCAGGCATAGTTTGAAGCCCGAAACTGCTCGGGCGTGCTTATGCTTGCGGTCTTGGAACGCTTTGGAGGATGAAGAGACTTCCACCAAGGGGAAGTAATTCAGATGCTGGAAAGCCTCAACTGAGCAGAGGTAGTTAGAGTTCTATGGAGCTGAGATTGTCTTGTGCTATGTGTGTTAGAGCCTTTGCCTCTCTATTCAACCACCACCTTGTTATGCAATGTCATGCTATAATAATAAATCGCGCTCCATGTTTTCAACTTGGGATGTGAAAAAAGGGTATAGGCCAGGGTTTCGACTCGCTGGTGTGGGGAGTGAGTAAATACTTATCTGGTATTGACTCGTCCGTGTGGGGAGTGAGTAAATACTTCTCTGGTTTCGACAAGTTGGTAAATTCGTCCCACTGGTTAACCTTGATTTATACCAGCATACCCCTATAAAAACACAATTTTTTTGTGACCACCATACCACTCGAATACATTCGCATTCGGACGGTATTCGGCACCATTCGGATGGTATTCGTATTCGTGAAGGACCTACCATTCGATCAAATACCAAAACACCAAATATTCGGCTAATATTCGGTTACAACATTCGTATTCGTATTCGTACTCGAATTTACACCCTTAGATAGGGTGGTATGGGGAGGGATGGATGAGATAGGGTGGTATGGGAAGGGATGGATGAGATAGGGTGGTATGGGGAGGGATGGATGAGATAGGGTGGTATGGGGAGGGATGGATGAGATAGGGTGGTATGGGGATGGATGGATGAGATAGGGTGGTATGGGGAGGGATGGATGACATAGGGTGGTATGGGAAGGGATGGATGAGATTGGGTGGTATGGGAAGGGATGGATGAGTTAGAGAGGTATTGGGACGGGTTGGTGAGATGGGCTGGTTTTGGGAGGGATGGATGAGATAGGGTGGGATGGGGAAGAACGGGTAAAACAGGGTCGTATGGGGAAGGGTTTCGAGATAGGGTGGTATGGGTGGTATGGTGAGGTAGGGTGATATGGGGAGGGATGGGTGAGATAGGGTGGTATGGGGAAGGGTTGGTGAGACAGGGTGGTATGGGGAGGGATGGGTGAGATAGGGTGGTATGGGGAAGGGTTGGTGAGACAGGGTGGTTTTGGGAGGGTAGGGTGAGATAGGGTGGGATGGGGAAGAAAGGGTGAAATAAGGTGGTATGGGGAAGGGTTGGTGAGATAGGATGGTGTGGGGAAGAGTGGTTGAGTTAGGGTGGTATGGGAAAGAATTGGTGAGATAGGGTGGTATGGGAAAGGGTTGGTGAGATAGGGTGGTATGGGGAGGGATGGGTGAGATAGGGTGGTATTGGGAGGGATGGGTGAGATAGGGTGGTATGGGGAGGGATGGGTGAGATAGGGTGGTATGGGGAGGGATGGGTGAGATAGGGTGGTATGGCGAAGGGTTGGTGAGAACAACGGGTGAGTTAGGGTGGTGTGGAAAAGAATGGGTGAGATAGGGTGGTTTGGGGGGGGTGGGTGAGATAGGGTGTATGGGGGAAGAAAGGGTGAGATACGGTGGTATGGGGAGGAGTGGGTGAGTGTGGGGAAGAATGGGTGAGAAAGGGATGGGTGACATAGGGTGGTATGGCGAAGGGCTCGTGAGATGGGCTGGTTTTGGGAAGGATGGTTGAAATGAGGTGATAAAGGTAAGGGTTGGAGAGGTAGGGTGGTATTTGGAGAAAAGGGTTTAGTACGGAAGCCTGGTATGTGGAAGGAAGGGCAAAATAGGGTGGTATGGTATGGGGAGGGATGGGTCATATAGGTTGGTATGGGGAAAAATGTTTGAAATTGGGTGACATAGTGAAGAAAGGACGAGATAGGTGGGATGGGGAAGAAAGGGTGAGATTCGGTGGTATGCTGAAGGGTTGGTGAGGTAGGGTGGCATGGGGAAGAAAGGGTTGAGTAGGGAAGGCTGGTGATGGGAAGGAAGGGTGAACTAGGGTGGTATGGGGTAGGGTGGGTCAGACAGGATGGTGTAGAATGAGTCTGCTTGACTGAATGCATGTGGTGCATCTCTGCATGAATTCGTGCATGTCTGAATGCTTGTGTGCATGTCTGCTTGTATGTGTGCATGTCTGAATGCATGTGTGCATGTCTGAATGCATGTGTACATGTCTGAATGCATGTGTGCATTTCTGCATGCATGTGCACAGGTTTGTGCGCCGCTTCTGAAGTCCTCAAGTTTGTGTGTGTGCCGGGAGGAAATACGCCACATGCACGAATGTGTGCCTACACGTGTGCACGCATGTTTGCATGCGTTTTTGTACGAAGGCAGTGAGATTAGGGCTATCTTGAGTACCCTGACTGTTGTATTGATAGTAGGCCAGGAAAATGACCTTCACTGTGTGATAATGTAGGCAGAGAACCCCAATGGTGGGTGTGATGGGTGAGATGAGATAGGGTGGTATGGTGAAGAATGGGTGAGATAGGGTGGTATGGGGAAGAATGGTTGAGATAGGGTGGTATGGGGAAGAATGGTTGAGATAGGGTGGTATGGGGAAGCATGCGTGAGATAGGGAGGTATGGGGAAGAATGGGTGAGATAGGGTGGTATGGGGAAGAATGGGTGAGATAGGGAGGTATGGGGAAGAATGGTTGAGATAGGGTGGTATGGCGAAGAATGGGTGAGATGAGATAGGGTGGTATGGTGAAGAATGGGTGAGATAGGGTGGTATGTGGAAGAATGGGTGAATAGGGTGGTATGTGGAAGAATGGGTGAGATAGGGAGGTATGGGAAGAATGGGTGAGAAAAGGAGGTATGGGGAAGAATGGGTGAGATAGGGTGGTATGGGGAAGAATGCGTGAGATAGGGAGGTATGGCGAAGAATGGGTGAGGTATGGTGGTATGTGGAAGAATGGGTGAGATAGGGTGGTATGGGGAAGAATGGGTGAGATAGGATGGTATGGGGAAGAATGGGTGAGATAGGGTGGTATGGGGAAGAATGGTTGAGATAGGGTGGTATGGGGAAGAATGGTTGAGATAGGGTGGTATGGGGAAGCATGGGTGAGATAGGGAGGTATGGGGAAGAATGGGTGAGATAGGGTGGTATGGGGAAGAATGGGTGAGATTAGGGAGGTATGGGGAAGAATGGGTGAGATAGGGTGGTATGTGGAAGAATGGGTGAGATAGGGAGCTATGGGGAAGAATGGGTGAGAAAAGGAGGTATGGGGAAGAATGGGTGAGATAGGGTGGTATGGGGAAGAATGCGTGAGATAGGGAGGTATGGGGAAGAATGGGGTGAGGTAGGGTGGTATGTGGAAGAATGGGTGAGATAGGGTGGTATGGGGAAGAATGGGTGAGATAGGATGGTATGGGAAAGAATGGGTGAGATAGGGTGGTCTGGGGAGAATGGTTGAGATAGGGTGGTATGGGGAAGAATGGGTGAGATAGGGAGGTATGGGAAGAATGGGTGAGATATGGTGGTATGTGGAAGAATGGGTGAGAAAGGGAGGCATGGGGAAGAATGGGTGAGATAGGGTGGTATGGGGAAGAATGGGTGAGATAGGGTGGTATGTGGAAGAATGGGTGAGTAAGGGAGGTATGGGGAAGAATGGTTGAGATAGGGTGGTTATAGCGAAGAATGGGTGAGATGAGATAGGGTGGTATGGTGAAGAATGGGTGAGATAGGGTGGTATGTGGAAGAATGGGTGAGATAGGGGTGGTATGTGGAAGAATGGGTAAGATAGGGTGGTATGGGGAAGAATGGGTGAGACAGGGAGGTATGGGGAAGAAGGGGTGAGATAGGGTGGGATGGGGAAGAATGGGTGAGATAGGGAGGTATGGGGAAGAATGGGTGAGATAGGGTGGTATGTGGAAGAATGGGTGAGATAGGGTGGTAGGGGGAAGAATGGGTGAGATTGGGTGGTATGGGGAAGAATGGGTGAGATAGGGTGGTATGGGGAAGAATGGGTGAGATGAGATAGGGTGGTATGGCGAAGAATGGGTGAGATGAGATAGGTGGTATGGCGAAGAATGGGTGAGATAGGGTGGTACGGGGAAGAATGGTTGAGATAGGGTGGTATGGGGAAGATGCGTGAGATAGGGAGGTATGGGAAGAATGGGTGAGGTAGGGTGGTATGTGGAAGAATGGGTGAGATAGGGTGGTATGGGGAAGAATGGGTGAGATAGGATGGTATGGGGAAGAATGGGTGAGATAGGGTGGTATGGGGAAGAATGGTTGAGATAGGGTGGTATGGGGAAGAATGGTTGAGATAGGGTGGTATGGGGAAGCATGGGTGAGATAGGGAGGTATGGGGAAGAATGGGTGAGATAGGGTGGTATGGGGAAGAATGGGTGAGATAGGGAGGT